ATGTCAATAAGTATGATATAGCTATTTCTAAAATTTACAGTATGGAACCTGCAAAAACAACTTATTTACCTAAGGAGCAAGTGTCCATAACTTTTCCATTTTGTTTTAACCAACATTCTGACCACAGGATGCTGCAAAGCTTCCTGAAAATAAAAATCACGAACTGATTTCTGTCCAAACTTTCAGGGGAGAGTGATCTAAAACTCAAACTCCAGCAGAATATGTGTCATTCACGTATGAAATGTGTTTATTTTTTCCTGGATATCTTTTTGATTAACAGAGCTAGACATTACATATTTCACCAATGAATTTTGTTAAAATGTGATAATCCTTAGATCTGCGTCTTACTTTGTTGTTGCTCATTGCAATGGCAAGCAAACAAGACTTGTCTTTCCAGTTAAAATATTGGTTTTCTATCTGCTTGTGTCCATCTGAAGTCATAATCCTTGGGGGTCGTCCTCCCTCATCTCCATCCAAAATATGATAATAAAAATGATAGTTTAATGGATCATCCTGAATGGTGTTCCAGACTCCTTCAATTGCCTCTCTCTCTTCTCCAGTTTCATAGTTTTCTTGGCGTTTTGGAAGATATGGCCAATGAGGATTCACCATCTGGTCTAATACAGCCACTACAGTTTTCTGTAAAAAACACAAATCATTACATGAGTTTCATCAAAAACAAATCTAACATAACCATCTTGCTACAAATTTAAAAGGATTTGTTAAAAATAAGTTTAAAAATGTTACTTACATGACATCTACTATTAGTTTCAGAATCATTGGCCAGTGAACCATCAAGTTATTTACTTTATGGCAAAAAAATTTGCTTACTAAAAGCCTCTGGTCTGTTTTAAATTTTGTAAAATATTAAAACATCTCACCTTCATTTTTGGATTCTCAATAATTGCTTTGAAGCCAAAGAAGGATGGTTCAGGATTTTTCATATTGCCTGGTGTCCAGAAAAATAAACTGTGCACTCTAACAATGAAGGTGGAAATGGATCATCATTTCAAAGCTAGGTTTGTATCATTATCCAATGTTTAAATTATTTACAGACCACTCACAGTAAGCTTGCATAGTCTACTTATCAATTTCAAAAAAGAAATGTAACTATTCATTAAGTTTAACTCTGTAGCCTTCATTTCAGCATTTTCATGAAAAAGATATTCATTTTCTTAAGGCCATATTTCCCTTGTGTCTTAAATTCTAACTTTAAGAAGTTCACTTCTGCTGATCTAAATAGTACCTTTGATGCTCCATGACTCTAATCAAAAATGCTGCCACATCATCTTTCTCTGCCTCTATTGCCAATTCCACTGGCAGCATGGCTCTTTTTTCAACAGGTTTAAGTTGATCTTCCGTCATCATGGTAAGCATCAAAGGACATTTCCTCGCAAGTGTTTTGGTGACATGCAGAAAGCCAAGTTCAGCTGCATAGTGCATCAGTGTTTTTTTTGTTTCGTCATCTTCATCTCGGAACTCCTCGTATCTGTTCTCAGAGTTTAGTTCACTTTCTAAAAGAATCTCCAGCCACCGATTTATCTGCAAAACACATCATTATTAACACCATCAGATATGATATGTTTGAGCTAAATTATTTTACTCACCTGGCCAAATACATGACATGAATATAAAAACCTTTTAACCTAAGCTTACGCTTACATACAAATCAACTTACCAGTTGCTCAAGTCCACGATTTTTATCTGGATTATCTCTGTTTTGTTTATTTGCTGGCCACTGTTTTAACATCACTAAAGCTGGGTCCTCACTGTCCATTTCTCCACCGTCCAGGAATTGTTTAATCAGTCTCTCGACACGAACTTCATCCATAGCTCTGTTCCAAGATATCCCTTTGTTCTGCTTTTGATGAACCTAGGTCAATCAAGGAATACACTGTAACTATGTCGCGAACAAATTGCACTATAGAGCTTAAAAATAAATTCACAGCCCTCATCGTGTAACGAGCATTTCAATGTTCATTTTTGATACCTTAATCCAGAACTCCTCGTCGAATATACCTTCATCTTTAAGCAAATCTTGCTGCTGATCACGACCGCGACCAATTTCACGCTGATTTCCAATTTCGTTCCTTTTTTCAGCACGCTCCAACCCTTGTTCCTCTTTCCTCATCCCTGAATTGTTTAACACCAGCCACATTTACGCAATATGTGCTAAATGTGTACCATATTTTTTCAATAAATAATCTTTTTCCAAACGCATTCTCTCTTCAATCGGGCAGTACTACTTGAGCATCAAACACTACCCAGCGTCCTTAGCGACTCCCAGCGACAACATCTTGCCCTTGTTAGTCCCCCGCGGATCTAAGATCGGCCTCTCGGTTGAAGATGCGAGAGCCCCTGAGTACTAGGACTAAGACGCGCACTTTCAAAACATTCTTAGTACAAGACAATTCCCTAAGCAATTTCACAAAAAGATAATCTAGGTCAACAAAAAAACATTCAAGCAAACAAATAGATTTGCAGCATAACTTTCCCCTTTTGAGAGAGTTATGATTTGTACAGTCCACAAAAAGTTGTTGTGGACAATGATATTCATTAACGTCATTATTCCTCACATTTGGGCGTGTCATGTTCGTCTATTATTCCCAGTTGTGCGAATACTCAGACAAAGTATGCGTCAGGATTAATTTTCAACTCAAAGATGGAATGCACTTTTTTTAAAGTACTGAAGACAGGTTCTCAGAGATAAATCTTTCACACACAGTTCAAAATTCCGCGTGCAAATCACACATTTGCCATGGTATATATTGTAATGGCAAAGGTTGATTCCTTGCTGTACTGTGGACAGTTTTTTTTTCTTGCAAGCACAAGTTGAGTTCCTTTCACTGAAAGATTTAGACCAGAACATCCGAAAGCGTGTTCAACAAACTGCGAAGTTCATATATCACAACACAAGTTCGAGTCGAAAATGAAATGCACATTGTTTCTGTATACTGAAAGCGACAACACCAAAGGTAGGCGACTTATGAGTTATTTCCAAGGTAGGCTGGGAAGGATTGCAGAAGTTAGAGGTATCAAGAACATTTTAGTGAGGAAACAAGATTTCAGGTACGAGCTACGCAGTAGTCAGTGTGTTGTATTGGTCGGGACACGCCAAGCCTCTTCCCTCATCCAAAACAAGCAGCAAGAAAAAGACGATGATTACATCACCTTCGACGGCAAAGTTATGCACGAAGAATTCACAGAAAACAAAGAACTTGTCGAGAACAGACTTGTTATTGTTCACTTCGCTGAAAGAACCAAGGATGACTGGATCCCGACTGGTTTCGACGAAAAGCGAATTTTTCATGTGGAAGACGGCAAAGCTCCGCCCAAAGGAACCCCTACCTTGACTCACCTTGAATATCGCATGAAGAAAATATTGCTCGGAGATGACTTCTTGTACTGAGCTTAAAGACCTTAGGGAGTGCGGTAAAGATTTCTTCATGCTAAACAAAAAATTCACAGATGCTGGCTTAGCAACCGATTGCATTTGAATGACAGTTCCATTACGTTAGATAATGAATTGATCATACTTGTTTGTGATGGCAATTTTTCCTCAATCGAAAGTTTTAACTTCGACAGTGTGATGCTTACACCCTAGGCTTGACTTTGTGATTAACTTGAGAGAATGATGTGTAATCCTCTAAAAAAAAGACAAAATTTAGTCGGGACAGCCTTTTGTAGATAAGTACGCGAGTGTTGTCTCGAGGATGCCTTAATATTGAAAAAATTCGCGTCTTTACATAAATATAGTGGAGGAAAATAAATCTGTGACCAATGCAGTCTCGACGGTCGTATTCTTTGAATTCCTTTCTAAAGAATGTTCAGGTTATGGCCTTTAAGGAGTCAGAGCTAAAAGATTTTTTTGCCCGCTGTGTTGTGAAAAAGTAACAGACATTGGTCTTTTTTGTGTAATTTTTATAAAGCACAGGTGACTGATTAGTCTCTGTTCAGAGCTACCAGATCCTATTAAAGATAATTCCTTAGATAAATAAGTTATCGCACAATTTTTTAAACTTTCCTTAACTATTTCCTTTCAATATCTGTTTCGAAAAATACAATAAAAAAGATAGGTCACCGTTCTTATTTAGGAGATACGACGGACCAAATTTACCCCATTTGTGCCTGTACTTACACTTATCACGCGCGTCATTTCACTGGTTCATTGTACATTTTGCAGTAGCAAGGATTATTAAAGTAACACTTGAATAGAAAGTCTCAAGGATCTGGAACCATTTGATATATAATTTGTAGAAAATCACGCAGTTTTAAACGACAGCAACTCAAAATGTTCCTCGCGTCGTTGCTCTCGGGGTCATAATTTGTATCCTTGAGAAAACGGCTTCGTGCACGCTTACTTGCCCGTAAAAAAACAATTTCTTTATTGCGTACTTCTTTGACAACAGATCAAAGTAATGATCTGATATGGGGCAGGAAACTGGATTCAACATCTTTACAGATTGAACTTCAACCGTGCATGCAACTAGACAGTGAAAAATACTGCTCATTTGTTAAGTTACTTTATTGAATTAAGTTTCCAAAAGAAACGCTTTAGTACCATCTCAAGGACCACTTATATTCAGTCTTAAGTATCTGACAAAGTAGTGAACCGTTTTGGCCACAGCAGGAAATCCCGAGACCTAAATCTGTATCCAACTCATCCAACATCTCCGCATTTCTTAGGAACAAATTTGGGGTTGAGACTGTCACGTAAATTTCATACGACACACTGTGGCTCACATTTTAGAGGCAAAATGCATGAATTCTTAGCCTTACAGGACGACCACAGTCCGACACGTTCTACTATTCCGGAGGCAATTGGTTATGTTACCACTGGTGGGTTTGTGCTGTCAGGTCCTCAATTTTAAACCCCATAAAAAAAAAAATTACAATCAAAACGATATCCCGTTCGTTTGAAAAAAGTTTCAAAAACTATCGTCCTATCTTTCTGGTAAAAGTCGTACAAAATGTAAGTGTTGAAAAATTGCGAAGAAAACGGAAGCAATACATCCCTCCTATTGCCGTCACGCAACAGACACCCGTTTATTCTCGTCCAGGCCTCATCTGTTTCACCATCTTTCTCATCAGATCCCTAAAATGAGAAACTCACAATAAAGAAAACCGCTGATACACAAATAAGAAAGCGGGTTGGGTAAGAAAATTTAGTAACGAGCCACGGGAAATTTATTCAATTAATTTTCTTTCACTTTGTTCTCTAATTGGTTGTGGAAACTTGCTTTATCCTCTCAATCAATCAGATATAGACTTGATGACAATCGTTTCCCCGATTCGGAAAATTTAATTGATTTATTTTTTATTTTTTTATTTTTCCATTTTTCTACTTTTTGTATCCACCTTCCGATTTGTCGCTGTGGCTAATTTAGTTTCGTTCTGACGAAGGAATTGAGGGAATTGTTCCTACCTGATCTCATTAAGTTTCTCTTCAACCGAATCCCAAGGACTGCGATCTTCACTAAATTCCAGAAGTTCTATGAACACAACCAAGATCACCTTATTTATAGCATGGGAAAGCAAGAGATCTTTTGCTTTTACATACTACTTTCGAGACTCCCTACACCCACCAACGAGGAATTGAATTAGAGACTGTTCGCTCAAATAGCTACATAGCTCTTGCTAATTTAAAGGAAGGTTTGTAATTTAAGCAGCCCTTCTTTTCGTTTCCATACCACTCCTTTTAGTAGCCACGCCAAATTTGTCCTTCTTACCAATAGCCATTCCACCTTTCAGCTAACAACATCCTGTGACTGATGGTATGTCTTAATAACTAGTCTCATTTATTTCATTACCGACCTTTTGCAAGTTTCATTTCACTGATCCAGTCTCCCTCTTTGTAATACTTCACGCGTAAATTCTACAGAGAGAGAAAGGTTGTTATATAATAAATCAATGACCTTCACCTTCCACCCCCTCATTCACACTTGTACGAGGCGTGCAGCACATTTGCGCGATCGCACCTGGCGTCAATATTATAACGGCTTTATTCTAATAACCTTGTGGATACTTACCAGAAAAGGAAATCTCTCCATGCGAGTGAGCTGTAAAATACGATCCACATCATATTCCAGACGGGCGACTTTCTTGGCCTGTGTGTAAGTTGTACTCATCTGTGCAATGAGAATGTTGAGCAGAATCACAGTCACTGTTCCCATATACGCCATCATTAGAAGAACTGACAGCCAGCTACAGGAAAGAAATATTCACAAAGCTAAGCTTATCTACTGAAGGAAGATATGTGTGACTTACTAAACACCACATCACAGAGCTGATATGACTTCTGACCTTAGCTTCCCTGAGCAAGCTTTTAAAACTCAAATCGTAACAGTCGTTACGCGCAAAGAGAAGCTCAGCAATAACTTCAAAGATTAGTGTTACGTACTTGAAAGGTGAGTAATTTTGCGCCATTGGATACTGCTCGGACAGCGCTCGAAACCCGCTCATCAAGACGTCTCCAAAACCACTAAAGGCAAAACCAAAAATTAAAATTAGTATGTTGGGTTTTTTTGCTCTTCTCATGCGCTATATTCAACATCCAAATTCCCGCGATCAGTAAATTACTTTTGCCAGAAAGGATGAGAACAGTTTGAGTAAACAAAAAATCTAGCTAGTAAAGAGCAGATCAAATTAAACAAATTCCAATGGAAATTATTTCATATTTTACTGACTTGTAGCAAACGATACCCTGAATTAGTTTTTTCCAAAACAACTTCATAGCTTTGTTAAGGAGATATACTCAACAGAGACGCACCGAAGTTCTTGGTTTTCATTGGATCCGGAGTAACAAAGTGATAAAGTCAAGGCACCACAGAAGGAGAAAAAGATCACAATGAAAACTGCCATGGATCTTGTTACATCATGTAAAATGATCTTAGCCAAGGTTTGTGTGTATAATCCTGTTGTCCTATGAAAAACGTAAGTTTAGGTTAAACTAACGAAGGGAGGAGTTTTAAGTCATCTTTTTGCTCTACAGTAATCAATTGGGAGTTCTGTGTTACCTTGATATACATGAAAATTTGAAGATCCTCAGGAAGTTGAACAAGAAGGCCAGAGATGTCACCATCCACTGTGCTTTATGATCCATATATCGTAAGGGTACTATACACAATATCAACAGCAGACCTAACCAGTCAAACAAGGTCATCCACTCTGAGAAATAAGAATGCCCCTCTCTGCAAGATATCAAACAATTTCACAACTATGCTCCTCTTCAAATGTGGGGTCATCAATTGTGATATGGGGTCAAATGGAAGGTTTTGATGAAATTTCCATAGTAACCCTTGATCCCCATAATTACTTACATTCTTATCTGATTTATTTCCTCACAGATGTAAAACACGACCATGAGTAGAGTGACAACCTCACAAAATCCACGCACTGAGTCCAGCGCACCGTTGTAATGGGTGGGGTCCAGTTTGGTAGAGGCATGCAGCAGAGAATATGACATGGACAGTAGGAAGATGCAAAACAATGCTGCTTGGAGGCTACAGAAAAGAAAAAGAAATTATGATAACCCTTTGCAGGAGCAAAATGAAGAAAGGGCACAGGATTAGAAATTCAAATGAGGATATAAAACATTAAGTTCTTGGTAACCTGTCTAATATGTTTGTAACACACCTTTGAAAAATCAAAGGCTTAAATTTGGACAGTATGCATGTATTAACACTGTCCCAAAAGAAATTGTTGTAAGATTAAATTGTATTGCATAGAAGTGCTTCGCCAGTGAATAATGCGTGTTAAGCAGCAAAGAAAAACTCAATAAATTCTGCCTTTATCACCCATACTTAGAGTTACATCAATATTAAATTCAACATCTATATCATTAAATAAATATGATACCCTTATTTCTAAAATTTGCAATATTGGAACCTGCAAACACAACTCATTTACCTGAGAAACAAGTGTCCATAACTTTTCCATTTTGTTTTAATCAACATTCTGACCACAGGATGCTGCAAAGCTTCCTAAAAATGAAAAATCAAGAATTGATTTCTGTTCAAAGCATGAGTCAAGAGTGATCTAAGAATCAAACTCCTGCAGCTCTATGTAACATCAACAGATAAATCTAAATGTTTCTACTCTTTCTAAATATCTTAAGTGGCATACTACATATTTAAATTCAACTACAATTGCTTAGCATTTACCAGAAATTTTTTTCTAGTTTAAACTTACTTTGTTGTTGCTCTTTGCTATGGCATTTAAACAAGACTTGTCCCTCCAGTTAAAATATTTGTTTTCTATCTGCTTGCGTCCATCTGAAGTCATAATCTTTGGGGGTCGTCCTCCCTCATCACCATCCAAAATATGATAATAAAAATGATAGTTTAATGGATCATCTGAAATTGTTTTCCAGACTCCCTCAACTGCCTCCCTCTCTTCTTCAGTTTCATAGTTTTCTTGGCGTTTTGGAAGATATGGCCAATGAGGGTTCACCATCTGGTCTAATACAGCCACTACAGTTTTCTGTAAGCGACAAAAAAAAAATCATTAGATGTTAATTCCATCAAAAGTATGTCTATTATATGTGTGTTATGTATGAATGTCTGTTAGAAAACAATCATAGTGTAATCACAATATCCAAACAGCAACATCACTAAGCTGCACACTGCAAAAATGATAACCTTACCAGTAATGATTTCAATAATGGCAATAATATTTATCATATTAATACTAATAATAAAGATAATAATGATAATAACAATGTTATTGATAATGATAGAGATGATGACAACAGGGATGAACAAAATCAGGGATGTACAACAAAACAAATACAGTATAACACCAGTGATAAACAATTATTCACTAAAGTGGAGGTGATTGAGGTGGATATTTACCAGGTTATGAAGCAGCAAGGTAAACATTTACTACTTTCACCAACACTGAGGTGAATAATTGTTTTAGTATATACCACGCAGATGCCAAAAAATTGCTTTATTTCTTTCAAAATACTAAAAAATGGTCAAAAATTAAACTGATCTTGATGCATGATTTTGCCTCCTCAGCCACCCGGTGAATGGTACTTAATTGCTATTCATTTTTAAACGAACCAATCAATGCACATGAAAAATACTTCTTATTTGTTTTGTAAAACAAATAATAATAATAATAATAATAATGATATTTTTTTTGTGCTCTTTTTAAGATAATGGCAGATGTTCAGATTAGATGATTGGATTATGGGAGGGTTACTTGTCATGTACCCCTGACAAAAGACAGAACATGAGTAATTTAAGACAAGACTTGGAAATACCTGCCTCTAAATAGTTCCTAGAAAAGATGGGAAATTTCGAATTTGAAAAAAATCAAAAGTGCTCAACAGGACAGTTTAGATGAACTTAAATGATAAATACACCTGGCCTTGGGATGATAGGGTTGAGAGAGTAGATAATAGTTCCTCTACAATCCCTTCCACACACCACCCCCCTCCCCCACCCAACATCCCCTCCTTCTCAAAATCTGTAGTCAGGTAGATGGTTTTCCAAACCTTTTTAAATAGGAATTGTGAACTGATCCAAAATATTATGCAATAAAAACAGCTGAAAACCATCACATTAAGGTTGGAAATCTACCGAAGCCATTATTTCTAGACCGTTATATTATTTACTCAATGGGAAAATTAAACCTGTGACCCATTCAACTTTTAGTAGCTTGTGACAAAAAGCTCACCTTCATTTTGGAATTCTCAATAATTGCCTTCAAACTTAAGAAAGATGGTTCAGGATTTGTCATGTTACCAGGTGTCCAGAAAAATAATCTTTGGACTCTAAAAGTGATAGTGAAAATAAATCATTACATAATAGTAATAAATGTATTCCAATGCCCTGATCAATTAGGTTGATCGTACAAGGTTGTCAACAGGACTTGAGAAACTGGTAAACATTCTACATAAATTACTCTCCGAATCTGAACTTGTTTATGTTTCAGTCTTCCTGAAAAATAATCTGTATCTATACGATCATGACCCTACACCCCTTAATTCTCTCATTTAGATTTTTTTCAGGTGGTAAGCTTGTGTCTACCTTTCATGCCACATAGTTCTAATCAAAAATGCTGCAACATCATCCTTCTCTGCCTCTATCGCCAATTCCACTGGCAACATAGCTCTTTTTTCTACAGGTTTCCGTTGATCTGCTGTCTTAACAGCGAGTAGCAGAGGACATTTCTTCACAAGCGTTTTTGTGACATGTAAAAAGCCAAGCTCTGCTGCATAGTGCATTAGGGTCTTGTTTGTTTTGTCATCTTCGTCTTGGAATTCCTCGTATCTGTTCTCAGAGTTAAGTTCACTTTCTAAAAGAATCTCCAAGTATCGATTTATCTATAAAACACATATCAAAGATTTAATTTTCCACAATAAAATTTGTTAAAATGACGTATTTACCAAAAATTGTCTTGATAAGCTGGTTAGAAGAAAGACAAGTTCCTGCAAATAAAGCTTATGAGTACCAACCTGTTGTTCAAGTCCAAGAAGTTTGTCAGGATCATCTTTGTACTGTTTAGATATTGGCCACTTTTTCAACATCAACAGCGCTGGATCTTCACTGACTAGTTCCCCACCATCCTTGTATTTTTGAATCACTCTTTCAACATGAACTTGATCCATAGCTCTGTTCCATGAAAACCCCTCGTTCTGCATCTGATGAACCTGTTTAAATAATTCAAACTCAGTCGATAAAGGATTTATAACACAGCAAAATAATTTCATTACCTTAATCCAGAAATCCTCATCAAATTCATCTCCTTTCTGCTGATCACGATAGCGATCAACCTCATGCCGATTTCCTTGTTCGTTGCTTTTTCCAGCAGGCATCAATTCTTGCCCTCCTTTGCTCATCGTTGATTTGCTTAACACCAGCCACATTTAAGTTATTTGTCTTAGATATGCACCATAATTTGAGGAAATATAACGTTTTAGAGAAGAGAAACACAAGGCTTTGTTTCGCTTGTCAGGCAAACGTCAAAGACGAGCTGTAAGTAAAGGCTAAACTCTTACCCAGGGCCCAGTTGTTCGAAGGCCGATCAGCGCTCATGGCATGGTTAAATTTTAATCTGGGTTTCTTTATTCCTTTATTCAAAGGCCTTTTTGGGAAAATGTCCTGTGTTCTTTTTAGAGCGTCAGAGAGTCATATCATAAACAAAAAGAATTTAAATGAATTTTCTTTTAAAGCTCTCAGTTCTGAATTCAGATTTCACACTAACCCTGGGTTATCCTAACCTGGCTTTGAACAACCCGGCCTAGGGATCTGACGTTTGCGAACTGAGAAGCCCCTGGGCACCAGTCGTCGCTTCAAAGCCTAATACAAGGACTTGGAACTGTTGAAATGCAAATATCTCAAGTTAAGCAAGTCCTGGAATAATTTAAAATGACTGGAACGCATGCAGGAAGAAAGTTGAATTTACCTAGAAGCCAAAAAATATATTCGCGTTGATTGGCGTCAAAAACTAGGGTAGGTATTTCAGTAAAAATTCCAATACTGCGGAAATCAAGCTCGTGCTCAGGTCTGTGTGACAAGTGCTTCTGATGATACGAGGTGCTTTTTATTTCAAACACGCATGCTACTACTTCAAAGCTTTTTTCGGTGGCAATTCTTCGTATCATAATGGTATTACATGTATTAGAACTGAGTGGTGTCCAATTCGGTCTGTAATCATACGAGTGGTTTGTTAATCACGAGTATGATTACAGACACAATTGGACGACACAAATTCCCGTTACCAGTTGGTCAAAACTGTGAAAAAATTTGGGAAAGAAACAAGACATCGGTTTTACATTTTTAGGAAGAAAAACAACAAAAGTTGATTCAGCGAAATGTGAGATAACAGCGCGTGAACATTACGTACTGTCCAGTTACACAGGCATGACGTGTCAACTGTCCTATTACACTGTCCAATTACAAGCGTGACGCGTACACTGTCCTATAAGCAGGTTAGTGCTCAAATCGGGCTGTTGATAACCAATCACTTTTGAGAATTTTGTTATAGTTCTGATCAAGTTTGATATTCACGTGCATTCACACATTTTGCTTCTAGTATATCATAGTTGCTCAGGGTGTTACCTTGCAGTATTGTCGACTGTTCTCAGTAAATTGCGAGCAGAGTTTTAGTTTCTTGCGTGTCAGAAGATTTAAACCAGAGCTTCCAAAAGCTGGTTTATTGAATTCGTTGGTATCTCCACGTACAAATTAGATTCGAAAATGAAATGCGCATTATTTTTGTATACAGAAAGCGACAGCACCAAAGGTAGGCGACTTATGAATTATTTTCAAGGCAAGCTGCGAACGGTTGCAGATATGAGAAATATTCCGAACATTTTAGTGAGGAAACAAGATTTTAGATATGAGCTTTGCCACTGCGAATGTGTTGTGTTGGTCGGGACACCCCAAGCTTTGTCCCTCATCCAAAACAAGCAGCAAGAAAAAGACGAAGATGACATACTTTTTGACGGCAAAGTTATGCATGAAGAGTTCACAGAAAACAAAGAACTTGTAAAGAACCGACTCGTTATCGTTCATTTCACGGAGCGAACCAAGAATGAATGGATCCCGACTGGTTTTGATGAAAACCGAATCTTTCATGTGGAAGACGGCAAAGCTCCCCCTAAAGGAACCCCTACCTTAACTCACCTTGAATATCGTATGAAGAAAATATTGCTTGGAGATGATTTCTTGTACTGATCTAAGGATAATTGGATTTTGCAGCTAAGGTTTCTTTATTGACAGAAAGAGCCACAAACATAAAATGCTGGCTTCTCGGCTAATTGCGTTTGAATGACAGTAACATTATGTTAGATATTGATAATTAATCGTACATGTACGTGTTTGTGATGTTAGGTTTTTCCCTAATCGAAAGACTTGGAAGAGTGTGATGGTTACACCCTTGGCTTAACGGTATGCGTTATAGAGTGGATGGTGTGAAATTATGAATACAATAAAATTTAGATAAAACGGTTGAAGATATTGCTTATTTAAGTACTTAGATATTGTTTCGAGGAGACCTCAGAGCATGAAAAAATGTTCAAGGCATTTCAGAACAGCCCGTTCTAGCAGACAGAGCTACTGAACCGAGTGGAGGGGGAAAAAAATGAGCAACGTCAGTCTTGCATTCTTTAAATTCCTTAACAGTTAATTTTCTTGCGCTAGGAGTTGACTTTTATTTATTTGTCTGCGCATTGTGCTAACCGAAAAACGTTGGTGTCATTTGCGTAATTTTCTGAAGCGTAGGTTTACTATTGGCCTCCATTCATGTTCAGAGCTATTCAAGTCTAAGATAGCATGGGAAAATATTGATTAGCCAGCCATGACTATCCCTTTGAAATGGGATTACAAAACGGCACAGTACTGGCGCTCAAGGTCGCTCAAATGACATAGTGAACCTCGCTACCAAGGTCTCTCCGGCCTTACAGCCCGACCGTGTAGAGAACGATATTAACACCGTGAAGCTTTGGCGAGTCGCTTACGTCTTGAACCCAGACTTCCCACGAACAAGCATATGTCGCACTCAAGGCGGACACACAAATACTGAGAAAGAGAGCACTACAGCGCTAGGGCAATAATATTTTGTTACGTGGATGACTGCAATAATGAAATAATTGAATTTGCTTCCAGTTTCTAAACTAACGCTGTAACTGGCGTGAAATGCAGTTTTTTGGGCTAACGGATGAGAGATGAAAATTGTTTTACTAGCTGTTATATATATATATATATAAATATATTTATGTATATTTATGATCCACACATGAGAACTTGTCTCCCTCTTTAGTTTTTTTTTCTAGGACAAACAATACAATCATTTATCAAGTACCGTAGCATTTCATCAGACGCGGGTTCCTTCGCTTACAGATATGGTTTGATTTTAAAATTCTACCTCAGTCTTAGCTGATCGGCTGTCCTTGAAAAAGAGGAGACTCCACAATCTCATATTGCAGTCTAAAAATTACACGCGAGTTTTGCCAGTCAAGATTCCCTTGATGCAATCTTCGAGATGGTCTAGGGAAGGATTTCCTCTCTGAATTTCTTCACCTTGCAGGTTAAAAATTCTACTTTCATCCAAACCAGCTGGAATCCATTCATTCTTGGTTCGCTCCGTGAAAAAAACTATGACCAATCTTTCCACAAGTTCTTTGTTTCCTGTGAACGCGTCATGTATCACTTTACCGTCGAAAGTAATAAAATCTTCGGTTTCTTGGCGTTTGTTTTGAATGAGTGACGAAGCATGACGCGTCCTGTCAAAACGACACAGCTGCTGCGAGAAAGTTCTCTCTTAAAATCCTGTTCCTCTGCCAGAATATCAGTAATATTTCGTAAATCTGCCACTTTTCGCAGCTTGCCTTGTAAATAATCCTTAAGCTGTTCTGCTTTAGCACTGTCGCTTCCAGAGTACAGGAACAGAATGCATTTCATTTTCAGTGAGCGCGAGGACAATTGAGACAGATAAACACGCTCGTCAAATGTATCACTGAATTTCCGTTCATAAACTTAAATAATTTGAGGGAATTTCTGCTTTTTTAAATGTCAGATGGGAAAATCAAACGCACCTTTGCTCCCTCGATAAACCACAGTCGACAAAACTGCTTCAATATCCCATACTTCTCTAAATCATGCTTTGAATGGACAAGAAATATATCACGGCCACTGAGCGTAAATATTTTGCGACATCACGACTTTAATTATTTCAAGTGTTCTGCTTTCAAAATGATTAAAGAGGTGTCAACAAACATTTTAAAAGCAACCAATAAAAAAAGCTAATCACCACACAAGTTCGAGTCGAAAATGAAATGCACATTGTTTTTGTATACTGAAAGCGACAACACCAAAGGTAGGTGACTTATGAGTTATTTCCAAGGTAGGCTGGGAAGGATTGCAGAAGTTAGAGGTATCAAGAACATTTTAGTGAGAAAACAAGATTTCAGGTACGAGCTACGCAGTAGCCAGTGTGTTGTATTGGTCGGGACACGCCAAACCTCTTCCCTCATCCAAAACAAGCTGCAAGAAAAAGACGATGATTACATCACCTTTGACGGCAAAGTTATGCACGAAGAATTCACAGAAAACAAAGAACTTGTCGAGAACAGACTTGTTCTTGTTCACTTCGCTGAAAGAACCGAGGATGACTGGATCCCGACTGGTTTCGACGAAAAGCGAATTTTTCATGTGGAAGACGGCAAAGCTCCGCCCAAAGGAACCCCTACCTTGACTCACCTTGAATATCGCATGAATAAAATATTGCTCGGAGATGACTTCTTGTACTGAGCTTAAAGACCTTAGGGAGTGCAGTAAAGGTTTCTTCATGCTTAAACAGAAAAGTCACAGATGCTGGCTTAGCAGCCGATTTCATTTGAATGACAGTTCCATTATGTTATATATTGAATTGATCATACTTGTTTGTGATTGCAATTTTTCCTCAATCGAAAGTTTTAAGTTCGACAGTGTGATACTTACACTATTGGCTTGACTGTGTGATTAACTTGAGAGGATGATGTGTAATCCTCTAAAAAAAGACAAAATTTAGTCGGGACAGCTTTTGTAGATAAGTTCTTGAGTGTTGTCTCGAGGATGCCTCAATATTGAAAAAATTCGCGTCTTTACATAGATATAGTGGAGGAAAATAAATCTGTGACCAATCCAGTCTCGACGGTTGTATTCTTTGAATTCCTTTCTAAAGAATGTTCAGGTTATGGCCTTTAAGGAGTCAGAGCTAAAAGATTTTTTTGCCCGCTGTGTTGTGAAAAAGTAACAGACATTGGTCTTTTTTTGTGTAATTTTTATAAAGCACAGGTGACTGATTAGTCTCTGTTCAGAGCTACCAGATCCTACTAAAGATAATTCCTTAGATAAATAAGTAATCGCACAATTTTTAAACTTTCCTTAACTATTTCCTCTCAATATCTGTTCCGAAAAATACAATAAAAAAGATAGGTCACCGTTCTTATTTAGGAGATACGAAGGACCAAGTTTACCCCATTTGTGCCTGTACTTACACTTATCACGCGCGTCATTTCACTGGTTCACTGTACATTTTGCAGTAGCAAGGATTATTAAAGTAACACTTGAATAGAAAATCTCGAGGATCTGGAACCACTTGATATATAATTTGTAGAAAATCACGCAGTTTTAAACAACAGCGACTCAAAATGTTCCTCGCGTCGTTGCTCTTGGGGTCGTAATTTGTATCCTTGAGAAACCGGCTTCGTGAACGCTTAATTGCCTGTAAAAAAACAATTTCTTTATTGCGTACTTCTTTGACAACAGATCAAAGTAATGATCTGATATGGAGCAGGCAACTGGATTCAACATCTTTACAGTTTAAATTTCAACCGTGCATGCAACTAGACAATGAAAAATACTGCTCATTTGTTAAGTTATTTCATTGAATTAAGTTTCCAAAAGAAACGCTTTAGTACCATCTCAAGGACCACTTATATTCAGCCTTAAGTATCTGACAAAGTAGTGATCTGTTTTGGCCACAGCAGGAAATCACGAGACCTAAATCTGTATCCAACTCATCCAACATCTTCGCATTTCTTAGGAACAAATTTGGGGTTGAGACTGTCACGTAAATTTCACACGGCACACTGTGGCTCACATTTTAGAGGCAAAATGCATGAATTCTTAGCCTTACAGGACGACCACAGTCCTACACGTTCTACTATGCCAGAGCCAATTGGTTATGTTACCACTGGTGAGTGTGTGCTGTCAGGTCTTCAATTTTAAACCCCATAAAAAAAAATTACAATCAAAACGATATCCCGTTCGTTTGAAAAAAGTTTCAAAAACTATCGTCCTATCTTTCTGGTAAAAGTCGTACAAAATGCAAGTGGCGAAAAATTGCGAAGAAAACGGAAGCAATACATCCCTCCTATTTGCCGTCACGCAACAGACACCTGTTTATTCGCGTCCAGGCCTCATCTGTTTCACCATCTTTCTCATCAGATCCCTAAAATGAGAAACTCACAATAAAGAAAACCGCTGATACAAAAATAAGAAAGCGGGTTGGGTAAGAAAATTTAGTAATGAGCCACGGGAAATTTATTCAGTTAATTTTCTTTCACTTTGTTCTCTAATTGGTTGTGGAAACTTGCTTTATCCTCTCAATCAATCAGATATAGATTTGATGAAAATCGTTTCCCCGATTCGGAAAATTTAATTGATTTATTTTTTATTTTTCCATTTTTCTATTTGTTGTATCCACCTTCCGATTTGTCGCTGTGGCTAATTTAGTTTCGTTCTGACGAAGGAATTGAGGGAATTGTTCGTACCTGATCTCATCAAGTTTCTCTTCAACCGACTCCCAAGGACTGCGATCTTCACTAAATTCCAGAAGTTCTATGAACACAACCAAGATCACCTGATTTATAGTATGGGAAAGCAAGAGATGTTTTGCTTTTACGTACTACTAACGAGACTCCCTTTCACCCACCAACGAGGAATTGAATTAGAGACTGTTCGCTCAAATAGCTAAATAGCTCTTGCTAATTTAAAGGAAGGTTTGTAACGTAAGCAGCCCTTCTTTTCTTTTCCACACCACTGCTTTCAGTAGCCACGCCTAATTTGTCCTTCTTACCAATAGCCATTCTAGCTCCCAGCTAACAAAATCCTGTGACTGATGGTACGTCTAAATAAGTAGTCTCGTTTATTTCATTACCGACCTTTTGCAAGTTTCATTTCACTGATCCAGTCTCCCTCTTTGTAAAACTTTACGCGTAAATTCTGCAGAGAGAAAGGTTGTTGAATAATAAATCAATGACTTCAGCCTTCCACCCCTCATTCACACTTGCCGCCACGAGGCGGGCAGCACATTTGCGCAATCGCACCTAGCGTCAATCACCTATCGGCTTCGTTCTAAATACCAATTGGATACTCACCAGAAAAGGAAATCTCTCCATGCGCGTGAGCTGTAAAATACGATCCACATCATATTCCAGACGAGCGACTTTCTTAGCCTGAGTGTAGGTCGTACTCATCTGTGCAATGAGAATGTTGAGCAGAATCACTGTCACTGTTCCCATATACGCCATCATTAGAAGAACTGACAGCCAGCTGCAGGAAAGAAATATTCACAAAGCTAAGCTTATCTACTCAAGGAAAATATGTGTGACTTACTAAACACCACCGCTCCCTTATTACATACATGATATGACTTGTGACCTTAGCTTCCCTGTGCTAGCTTTTAAGACTCAAATCGTAACAGTCATTATGCGCAAAGAGAAGCTCAGCAATTTCTTCAAAGATTAGTGTCACGTACTTGAAAGGCGAGTAATTTTGCGCCATTGGATACTGCTCGGACAGTGCTCGAAACCCGCTCATCAAGACGTCTCCAAAACCACTAAAGGCAAAATCAAAAATTAAAATTAGTATGTTGGGCTTTTTTGGACTTCCCACGCGCTCTATTCAACATCTAAATTCCCGCGATCAGTAAATTACTTTTGCAAGAAAGGATGAGAATAGTTCGAATAAATAAAACATCTAGCTAATAAAGAGCAGATCAAATTAAACAAATTCCAAAGGAAATTATCAAATATTTTATTGACTTGTAACAAACAATACCCTAAGTTGTTTTTTCCAAAACAACCTCATAGCTTTGTTAAGGAGATATACTCAACAGAGACGCACCGAAGTTCTTGGTTTTCATTGTATCCGGAGTAACAAAGTGATAAAGTCAGGGCACCACAGAAGGAGAAAAAGATCACAATGAAAACTGCCATGGATCTTGTCACATCATGTAAAATGATCTTGGCCAAGGTTTGTGTGTATAATCCTGTTGTCCTAAGAAAGATTCAGTGTAAAGTCAGGTTAGATTGACGAAGGGATGAGTTTTAATTCATCAGTGCACTTTTCAAACTCAAGTAATCAGTTGGGAGTTGTAGGTTACCTTGACACACATGAAAATTTAAATATCCTCAGGAAATTGAACAAGAAGGCTAAAGATGTCACCATCCACTGTGCTTTATGATCCATGTATCGTAACAGCACTATACACAATATCAACAGCAGGCCTAACCAGTCAAACAAAGTCATCCACTCTGTGAAATAACCACGCCCTTCTCTGCAAGAAATCAAACAATTTCCATTACTTTGCTCCTCGTCTAAAATTTTATGAGGTGTTTTTTGGTCCTTCAAATAAGAGGACCTTGATGAAACTTCGACAGTAACCCCTTACCACTATAATTACTTACATTCTTATCTGATTTATTTCCTCACAGATGTAAAACACAACCATAAGAAGAGTGACAACTTCACAAAGTCCACGCAATGAGTCTGGCACATCACTATAATGGGTGGGGTCCACTTTAGTAGAAGCATGTAGCAGAGAATATGACAAACACAGCAAGAAGATCACATACAATACTGCTTGTAGTCTAAAGGAACAAAAAGAGAGTTATCACCTTGATTGCAGGAAAGGAATTGAAGAGGATGAGGTTTTTGGAGATTCATAAGAATATACAAATGCTTGAGTATTTCCTCTCTGTAACCTAGCTAGTATTTTTGTCAGCAACCCCTGAGAAATTTAAAAATGGATTTAACTTTTTCCAGTATCATGCATTCACAATGATCACAGAAAAATTAGTCTGAATCACAAAGACAAAACTAAGCTGAAAAAATTTATAAGCTATCACCTTAAGCGCGGTATGCGTAAACATGATATAGAAGTATTTCTATAGATTTAGGATGGAGCCTGTAAACAGCTGATTTACCTGAGAAACAAGTGTCCATAACTTTTCCATTTTGTTCTAATCAACATTCTGACCACAGGATGTTGCAAAGCTTCCTAAGAATAAAAAACAAGAACTGGTTTCTAAGAATAAACTCCTATATAAGTAAACATTTGTTGATATGTGAATCTGGATATCTACACGTGACATTACATATCTTTCAAATGAAATTTCTCAACATTTCAATTTCTTTAGATCTTACCTTATTGTTGGTCTTTGCAATGGCACATAAACAAGATTTGCTTTTCCAGTTGAAATATTTGTTTTCAATCTGCTTGTGTCCATCAGAAGTCACAATCATTGGGGGTCGTCCTCCCTCATCTCCGTCCAAAATATGATAATAAAAATGATAGTTTAATGGATCATCTGATATTGTGTTCCAAACTCCTTCAACTGCCTCCCTCTCCATTCCAGTTTCGTAGTTTTCTTGGCATTTAGGAAGATATGGCCAATGAGGGATCAACATCTGGTCTAATACAGCCACTACTGTTTTCTACAGACAAAGCAAATCAATGTATGTCAAATAAAAAAACATCTCTACTGTATGTGTAGGATTGATAATGCTCAAAGTATAATGTTAATTCTGAGCTTGATTAATAATAATAACAGTTATGATAGTTATACTAAAATGACAGCACTGATGAAAATAGTAATTAGAATAACTATGATAGTAATGATGATAGTAATACTAATGGTGAGGATGCTAATAACAGTATAGTTATGTTACAATGATGTGGTGGTAAAAATGATAAAAAAATATCAACGTGATCATTCTCTATTCTTTCGAACACATAGCAGATGTGCAGATAAAAAGATTGAAATCCAAAGCAGCTACTAACCAGCCTATTTAGGCAGGATAAGAATGAGCCAATTCTAGATTCATAAATAGGACATGTAATAAACAAAGGTTGCAAAAGTCAATAACAAATGTATCACCAAATTGAAAGCAAATTGAAAGAAGGGTAGAAAAATTTCCTACAATTTTATAACTGGCTTTGAATAACTGGCCAGGACCATAGCACCTTCGATTCCCCTCCTATCTCCATTTTTGTGATCAGATATCAGAAACAGGAGCTGATTTGTTATACATAATGCAATAAAAACTGCAGAACTCACTCTCATTATGCTGTAGGATCCACCAACAGGTTTTCTTAGCTCACCAAGTCATTTTCAGAATTAAAATCAAACTTGTGGTCCATTTCAAAACTATATATATATACAAAAGGCTCACCTTCATCTTTGGATTCTCAATAACTCCTACAAAACTGAGGAAGGATGGTTCAGGATTTGTTGTATCCTCAATTATCCAGGAAAATAAACTTTGAACTCTGAAAATAATGTTACAAATTTATCATCACTTTAAAAGCATGCTGTAGGTTTCAGTGTTTGGGTTAACAGGTTACTCACAGCAGTCTGGCTTGATCAAGATGTTTAAAAGAAATTATCTGAATTGAATAGATAATTTTTTGTATTTTTACCAACATTTCAGCAATTTATTTGAATAATGAACATCAGATGTTACTCAAACACATTTTAAAACCTGTTCATCTGAAAAATATAATTTTGCCAGAAGAATAAATTCATCTCTCTAAGATTCATGCCCCTTGAACCCTTGATGTAGAAAACTTGTTTCGGCTTGTCTAAATAAAAAGAATTTTTCTACCTCTCATGCCACATAACTCTAATCAAAAATGCAGCCACATCATCCTTCTCTGCTTCTATCGCCGATTCCACCGGTAACATGGTTCGTTTTTCCACAGGTTTTCGTTGACCTTCGGTCTTTACAGCCAGAAGCTTGGGACATTTTCTCACAAGTGTTTTAGTGACATGTAAAAAGCCAAGTTCTGCTGTATAGTGCAAAAGTGTCTTCTTTGCTTGGTCATCTTCATCTTGAAACGACTCGTATCTGTTCTTTAAGTTTAGTTCACTTTCCAACAAAATCTCCAGCCGCCGGTTTATCTACAAATTCACATCGGAGAAAATATTTTTAACAATAACCTTAATAGCAAAAATTAAGACTTCTTGATGAAATTTTGTAAACTAGCTGGGTAGAAGAAGAAAAGACAAGTACGTTTTTGCGTGAAAACCTATGTACACACACCAATTGTTCAAGTCCGGGAAGTTTTTCTGGATTATCATAGTACTTTCTGGAAACTGGCCATTTTTTTAACATCAAAAGAGCTGGATCCTCACAGCAAAGTTCCCCACCATCCTTGTAATTCTCAATGAGCCTTTCGACATGAACTTCATCCATTGCTCTGTTCCATGGAAAACCTTCGTTTTGCTTCTCATGCACCTTTTTAAATAACATTACAGAGTCAATATATATGATTAATTTCACGGAGAAAAATAAATAGATGCATGTTACTCACAAAGATCTACTTTTAAAAAACATCACACTTTCATTACCTTAATCCAAAAGTTGTCGTCGAGTTCATCTTCAAAGTTTTCTTGCTGAAGACCGAGACAGCGATCAATTTTCTCCACATCTCGTAGCTCTTTGCCCTTTTCAACACACTTCAACTCCTGCTCCCTTTTACTCATTCTTTATTCGTTAAAAAGCAGCCACATTTAAGTTACGTGTATTGAATATCCACCATACTTCGGGGTTAAATATAGCTAGCTTTAACTAACGCAGGATCTCGCTAGTCGGCCAGTATTGCATCTGGTAGGAGATGGAGAGAAACTCGTCCCCAGGGATTTATCGGCTTCTTCGTTCAAAACCAAGGTGCCCCTAGGCACCAGTTTTAATTCCTCGTAGGAGGCAAGTATGCACC